AGCAGTTTTTAGCAATAAAGTATTTTCTAATTAATTAGACATAATACTAATGCACACTTAACAGACTACAGTATAGTGTAAACATAACTTTCATATGAACTGGGAAACAAGAAAATTCGTGTGACTTGCTTTATTACAATATTAACTCTATTGTGGTGGTCTGGACTTGAACCTGCAGTATCTCTGAGACATGCCTGTATTATAATTTGCAAAGGCAGAAAAATGATGCTCACTCCATATTGTAAGTTACACAAGAATAAGGCAAGCACTGTTCAAACTATCTTGATAAGTTTTTTTACAAAGAGATAAAACACATTAATTCTCAATGTGTCTAATGTTTTAAATCACAGTTACTAAATATTTTTTCATTTTCCTTTACATTTGTAACAGAAGAGAGTATGTAATGTTTTCACAAATATTTTTAAGTCACAGGACAATCATAACTTTTACCATTTATTATTAAGATGGTTTTTGCATGTTTTCAGCTTGCAGGGTCATTTTTATGGTCCCACGCTACCATGTACCATGTACATCTCCCATATTAGTACATATGTACCTACTTTATTCTTTTTTAAGAGCTACAGAATATTCCATTTGCCTGATTCAGCCACCTAATTCTGCATATCAAACCACCCCAAAACTTAGTGATTTAAAATGACAATTTATGGGGCTGGCCCCGTGGCCGAGTGGTTAAGTTCGCACGCTGCGCTGCAGGTGGCCCAGTGTTTCGTTGGTTCGAATCCTGGGCGCAGACATGGCACTGCTCATCAAACCACGCTGAGGCAGCGTCCCACATGCCACAACTAGAAGGACCCACAACGAAGAATATACAACTATGTACCGGGGGGCTTTGGGGAGCAAAAGGAAAAATTAAAATCTTTAAAAAAAAAAAGCAAAAGCAATTTATTAGATCTCACAATTGTGTACATTGCCTGGGCTTAGCTGGGCAGTTCTGCTTCACATGCTGTGAATCAGGTTACTCATGCAGATGTAGTCACTTGGTAGCTTGGCTGTGGCTGGAATGTCCATGATGTTCTCTCATTCCGATGTCTCTCCCCACATGGCTTGTTATCATTAAATAATCTATTCAGAGCTTTACGGCATGGCAGCTTGCTTCCAAGAGGGTATATTTCAAGAGCACAAGCCCTCATGTGCAAGTACTCATTCAGCCTGCTTGTACACTTGCTAATGTCCCGATGTCACACGGCCATGACCAGGGCTAAGTTAGTGTGGGAGTAATCTACTCAAGGGCATGAATACCGAGAAATGTGGTTTATTGGAAGCCACTAATGTAACAGTATCACTTATTTACTGCCTGTTGATAGACATTTAATTGTTTACAATTTTTCCCTTTACAACAAGATAGTAAATATCATTGTAGAAAAATCTTTGTCCAATTAAGCCCACACAAGAAATTATCCTAGAAAAAATGTAAACTGTTCATACTTAATCATCAGGAAACTCTACATTAATTTACACAGATAAAACTCATATTCTATTTATCAACTCTACTGATTTACACCAATAAGGATATAACAGCCCTCATTCCTGGGCCAGCCCTGTGGTTGAGTGGTTAAAGTTCTGGGCACTCTGCTTAGGCAGCCTGGGTTTGCTGGTTCAGATCTCAGGAGCAGACCTACTCCACTCATCAGCCACATTGTGGAGGCACCCCACATACAAAGTGAAGGAGGACTGGCACAGGTATTAGCTCAGGGCTAATCTTTCTCAAGGGAAAAAAAAAAAAAAAGAGGAAGATTGGCAACAGATGTTAGCTCAGGGCAAATCTTCCTCACTGAAAAACAGTACTCATTCCTGAAAAATCTTGCCAACACTAAGTTATTCATATTTTTAATATTTTTCCAATAACTTGCATTTATGTTATTAGTAAAGTTAAGCATATTTTTTCATATTTTATGGTTATTTGCATTCTTTCTTTTCATTTTTTCTTTTCGGTAGTCTTTTGTTTTTAAAGATTGGCACCTGAGCTAACAACTATTGCCAATCTTATTTTTTTTTTTTCCTGCTTTTTCTCCCCAAATCCCCCCAGCACATAGTTGTGTATTTTTAGTTGTGGGTCCTCCTAGTTGAGGCATGTGGGACGCCACCTCCACATGGCCTGACGAGCAGTTCCATGTCCATGCTCAGGATCTGAACCAGCAAAACCATGGGCCGCCAAAGCGGAGTTCGAAAACCTAACCACTCAGCCATGGGCCAGCCCCTGGGTTGTCTTTTGATTTGTAGAAATGTTTTGTAAATAAGATTATTGATCCTATTTTCCATTTTGCATGTTGCAAATATTTTCTCTCAGTCACTTGTTTTTTAACTTGATTTACAGTGGCTTTTATCCCATGGAAGGTAGTAATTTGTATATCACCATATCTAGCCATATTTTCCCGTAGGAAAGATAATCTCTATTCCCAAGACTGTAAAAATTATTTCTTATAATTTCTAGTATTTGTATATATTTTTTCTTTGCATTTAGTTTTTTTCTCCTAAATTTTGATTTTTGTGTCCAAAATTGTCCAACTTTTGTCCAAACTGTCCAAATTTCATTTATTGACTGTCCTTCCTTTCCTCCACTGGATTGATTTATTCCCTTACTGATCTATTTATTCCTGCAACAGTGTCATATTTTTAATTATAAAAGCATTGGAGCATGTTTTAACATCTGATAGAGCAAGTAGCACTTCATTCTTTGAAAATTTTCTTTGTCTATACTCATACATTTTTCTTTTTCTTTTTCCAGTTTTATTAAGATAAAATTGACATATAATATTTTATCAGTTTAAGGTGTACAATATAATGATTTGATATATGTACATATTCATACATTTTTCTTATAGACATAACTTTAGAATCATCCTGCCAAATTCTGAAAAACATTCCATTGGGTTTTGATTGGCAGTGCATTAAATTTTGAGATCCTGTCTTAGTCCGTTTGGGCTGCTATAACAAAACACCACAGACTGTGTGGCTTATAACCAGAAATTTATTTCTCACAGTTCTGGAGACTGGAAATCTGAGATCAAGGTGCCTACACGGTCAAGTTGTGTGTCTGGTAAGAGCTGCTTCCCAGTTTATAACTCACATGGTAGAAGGGACTAAGGAGATCTGTTGGGCCTCTTCCATAGGGGCACTGATCCCACTCATGAGAACTCTGCCCTCATGACCTAATCACCTCCCAAAGGCCTCCATCTCCTAATATCATCACATTGGATATTAGGTTTCAACATATGAATTTGGGGGGGACACAAACGTTCAGACCATAGCAGATCCATTGAAGGAACCTCTAGAAATGAAAAATGTAATCATGGAAATTAAAAACTCTAAGCAAGGTTAGATGGCAAGTAAAAACATCTGAAGAGACAATTAGGAAACAACGAAACAAATTACACAGAATGCAATACAGAAGTACAAATAGATGGAAAATATAAAAGAGAGTTAAGTCATAAAATCCAGAATGACATGGTCCAAGATGCTATTTAATGGGATTTCCAGGAGATAACAGAGGAAATAAGGGAGAGGTAATGCTCAAAAAGATCACGGCTGAAAATTTTCCTAAGATTCAGGAACCAAAATGAGTCCCAAGAAATGTAAATAAATTCACACCTTGACTCATTAAAACTAGACACCATTAAAGATAAAGAGAAGATCTTAAGAGCAAAGAGAAAGAAATGATGGATTACCTACAGAGGAACAATTAAACTAACACCAAACTTGTCAATAGTAACAAAAGAATTCAATAAAATCTCTTTAAAATACTGACAGAACATAAATATCAATCTACAATTCCAAGGCAAAATAAGACATTTTCTGTCAAAAAAGAAAGCAAGCCTTGCCATTAGTAGACCTTTCAGTATCAAAACTGATTGGACAAATGTAGACTAGCTGGGCCAGTTTCTGGAATAATAAAACAATATAAAGTTTTAAATAGTTATCTAAAGTTGCTATACTTAGAAAAGATACCATTTAAAACTAATTTTACAATAATAGTTCTTTTTAATGCTTATCCAAGATATCCTTTTTTTAGCAGGATTTCTTCCTTGTTAAATAGACTTTTCTTATACTGATAATAAATAGCTTTATATAAGTTGAACATTGTGGGAATCAAATTTTCTTATTATAACAAATTTCAATATTTTTAAATCTTAGAGCAAGGTTCACATAATAAAAATGTTTCAGATCTCTTTTTCTCTCACTTATAGTTTATTTTCAGGAAGTCATCAAATTCTAAGGATTCTCTTTTCTGTCTCTTCTGTTCTATCTTCACAACTATATGTAAGTCCTAGTGACCTCATCTCTAGATCATTATTACAACAGTTTTATAGTTTATTTTATTCTCTCCAGACCCTTACCAACTCCAATCTATCTTCTAGAGAACTGACAACATACTCTTCAAATTTAGACCCACAGAGTTTCAGAAATGAAATGCTTTCAAAGAGTTTTGCACAATATAGATCTGCTGAAACCAACTATCTTTTACAATTTTATATTAGATATCTCCTTTCTAAAAATCTCAGAGTTATCACTTTAAAAATATAAGGATATTTAATTCTTTGAACTCAGAATACTTACTACACATATTTTGTCACTTAATCATGTAGTGCCTCATGCCTTTATTTAATCATTTCATAGGCACCTATCTCATAACCTTTACCAAAATGTAACCTCCTGAAGAGCAGTTGTTTTTTTATCAGTCATAGTGTCTAATTATAGTATTATCTGTGCATTCCAAGGCACTCAGTAAATACTAGCTGACTTATCAAATACTTAACAATCTGAAAATCTTTTATTTTTTGCTTTAGTTTATAAATTCTTCTTCTTTCCCATTCCCAGATGTCAACTAAATCTGTCCTTTTCTCTTTTACTTCATGATTTGGACTGTATTTCTTCTTTCTAAATAAGAGGTCATTTTGTTATGTCTTTTTTTTTCCTTAAACCAAAAAACCAGAGAAAATCAAGTTCTCTGATAAAAAAAAGCATTGTAGAAAAGAACTTACCCTTCTCATACGTAATTCTTCTAATGCCTCCAGTAAACTTGTTTTGAAATCTAATAGCTGAATAGAAAACAATGTCTCTGAAGAACTTTGAAGAGTAAAGGTAGATGATGATGACTCAGTCTTAAAATCATTCTCCATATTAACATTTATTTCCTGTAATATAAAAAAGTTTTAACTGAAAACAATCATCTATCTAGGTTTTTCAAGTGCAGCACAGTTACCATAAAAATATAACAACCTGTATCCTATAATCCTCCAGGTTTAACACTGAATAACAGCTGTCATCACTCCTATTCTGATGTTGATACACAGAACATTTAGCAACAATGATGCCATTCTGTTTCTTTTGTTTTTCTGTTAACCTTAGTACCCTAGGAGACTAAATTTTTTGCCCCCAGCACCCGTCTCCTAAAGGCTGGCTGCCTAATATTGCAGGCAAGGGTTGGCCCTTCACGAACTGCTTCATACCAAGGCTGAGACAGACATAATGCTTCCTGAACTTTACCTTGATATAAAGCATTTTGTAAGGATGGTGTGAATACTAATTAATAGGAATGCAATCTTTAAACCCAACAAAGTTGGAAGAAGAGGACTAGGGTAACTGCCTTTTATTAAAAACCAAGGCACTTAAATATCTTTCTCATCCCCAAAAATTCATAAGTAGGCTGCACGAAACTTTTCAACTTTTCATTTTATTATCAATTCACAGTAGTTGCAAAGAAATATACGGGGAGTCCTAAGCACCATTCACTCAGCCTCTCCCAATGTTAAGATCTTGTACTATAACAGTACAATATAAAAACTGTGTATCTGACATTAGTACAATCCACAGAGCTTATAATGATTCTACCACTCATTTGTGCATGCGTCTGTGTGTACAATTTGTGCACAATTGTCTATTATATACACAACTTCTTGTAACTACCACGACATTCAAGATAGAGAACTGTACCATCAACACAGGGTCCCTCATGCAGCTGCTTTGTCTCCATACTCATTACACTAATCTCTTCTCTATTTCTATAATTTTGTTATTTCAAGAGTGTTATATAAATGGAATCATACATCATGTAATCTATTGAGATTGGATTTTTTCACTCGTAATAATTACCCTGAAGTTCATTTAAGTCTTTCTGAGTAATAGTCCACGGTGTGGACGTACTATGGTTTGTTTAACCATGTACTCACTGAAGGACAACTGAGTGGTTTTCAGTTTTTGGCTCTTACAAATACAGCTGCTACAAACATTCATGTACAAGTTTCTACACAAACCTAAGTTTTCATTTCTTAGGGATAAATGTCCAAGGGTGCAATTGTTGGGGTGAATGAATGAAAACTGAGTCAATTTTCAGTTGTAAAATAAACTGCCAAACTATTTTCCAGAGTGGCTACACCATTTCACATTCCCATTGGCAATGTATGAGTGATCTAGTTTCTCCAAATCCCTACCAGCATTTGATGTTATCACTATTTTTTAATTTTAGCCATTCTGATAGGTATTCTATTATTAATCATTCTCCAGAGAAGCAGAAGCAATAGGATGTGTATATATGGAGAGAGAGACAGAGAGACAGAGAGAGAGAATTTATTTTAAAGAATTGGCTCATGCAATGGTGGGGTCTGGCAAGTTTGAAATCTTCAAATCTTCAGGGCAGGTCAGCAGGCTGGAGACCCAGGGAAAGGTCGATGTTGCAACTTGAGTCCAAAGGCAATCTAGAAGCAGAGTTCCTTCTTCCTTGGGGAACCTCAGTCTTTTTCTCTTAAGGCCTTCAACTGATTGCCTGAGGCCCACCCACAGATGGAGGGAAATCTGCTTTACTCAAAGTCTACTGATTTAAATGTTGATCTCATCCAAAAATTACCTTCACAGCAATATCTAGACAGGTGTTTGACCAAATATCTGGGGACTGTAGCCTAGCAATCTTGACACATAAAATTAACCATCACAAGTGTGTATGCAAGAAACTTTCTAAAAGAGAAACTTCCATTCTTAAAAATGATGGGCTGTGTTATTTGGACCAATCCTCCAACTAAAAACAAGTAACAATTCTAATATTTTTTAATCTTCTTAAAATTGTCAAATACCTGTGTCAAAGATAATAAAAACTATGAAATTTTATATTATAAATTATAAAATTATAATATAAATATAAATATAAAATTATAAAAGTGTCAAAGATAATAAAAAATTATGAAGCCAAATTCTAAATTCCAAAAAAGACCAAGAATCAAGAAATAAACTGAGCATAGAAAGCCATCCTTACCCTGTGAGCATTTGCCAAATTGAGAAAAATTAAATAACAGCTTTAATGGCCTCTGGTGTGAGAGATACGGAATTCAAACCTAGGGCCTGCCAAAGTAGGAGGTCTAATACGAGACCCACTGTATTAAGTAGAATTCAGAAGAGTTAAACTCTCAGGTAAGGTTAAAGCAAAAATAATCCACCTTCTACAGGAGAGCTGCCTTGGTGCTGAGCAGATAAAGCATAAAGGAGAAGAAAAGGGAGGCTGAGACAAGGAAAGAGAATATAAAAAAAAGTTTCATCCCAGAAAGTTGTAAACAACTTAATTTTAAATGAATTTGTTAACAAAATTTGCTTCATACGATGGTGAAAGAAACCTCAACCTATCCATATGATTTAAAAGGCTTCCAGACTAGTAGTGCCCATAAGAACCTGGCAGAAGCAAACGAAAATTCTTTCTAGAGGAATGTAACTTTATTCTAGGTAATCTAGGAATCTTCATAAATAGTTTTTCAAGGAAAATAAACAGCACACAAAGATAACCAGGCAGGAAGAAAACACTGTATTACAAGAACAAGCAAGAAGAAATAGACAAGAGAAATGGACAGACACACAACTGCAGATTTTGGCATTATCACAAACAGAATTTAAAACAACTATCCTTACTCTGTTTAAAGAAATAAAGTCAAGGTTGAAACTATCTGTAAAGAATAGCAGATTTTTTAAAGACCCCAGTAGACTCTCTAGATTTGAAAAATATAATCAACAATTAATAACTCAATCAATATGTCTGGCAGAAGATTGGACACAGCTGAAAAGAGAAACAGTATACTAGAAAACAGGTCAGGTACAATATCAAGGATACAGCAAGGAAATACAAAAATGGAAAGTACAGAAGCAAAGTTAAGGAAGATGGAATATAAAGTGAGAGGCAATAATCAGTTCCAAAAAGAAGAAGGGAGAAATAAAGAGACACAGGCTATATTCTGAAGAGATAATAGCTGAGGAGTTTACAGAACTGAAGAAAACACCAAGCTTCAGATCAAGAATCCCAGTGAATTAAAAAATGCTGCATTTATTTAATTCTGACTGAAAAGAAAGAAGCATTGGGTTGTATTGAGAAACTGAAGAGAAAGGGGTTGCTTTTTTGTTTTAATCTCATGTTGAATTGTACTTAGATCATGGTTTACAAACACCTTTAGTCCATGTAAAGCATCATACTTGAATATGGTTTTATTCTTTTTTGTACTTGTTTTCTAATTCCATTCCCCTTTCCAACCTTTACAGACCACCCGTAATGCTCCCTTGAATCTATAGTTATCCTTTCAACATAGTGTTATGTGTGTGTACATTTAATTCACATAAATTCTATTTTTCTACACAGAGAAAAAAATCGCAGCAAATCCAAAATGGATTAAAAAAACATATCTATAGATATCACAGTAAAGTGACAGAAAAAAACCCTGAAAAATCTTACAAGAATACAACTAAATGTCAGAAGACTTAAAGCATATAGATATTGCCAGAACAAGGAATCAAAGAAAATACGAGAATGAAAAATTACAGAGCAATATAGCTCACGAAAGTAGATTCAAATTCTAAACAGAACAACAGCATACTGAAGCTAACAATGGATAAAAACAATATATCATAGCAAAGTTGGCTTTATTACAGGAATGTAAGATTTGTTTAACACTGTAAAATCAATTAATGTGGGGCCAGCCCCGTGACGGAGTGGTTAAGTTTGCATGCTCCGCTTCAGCAGCCGAGGGTTTCGCTGGTTCTGATCATGGGCGCAGAAATGGCACTGCTCGTCAGTCCACACTGAGGCAGCATCCCACATGCCACAACTAGAAGGACCCACAACTAAAATATACAACTATGTACTGGGAGGATTTGGGGAGAAAAAGCAGGAAAAAGAAAAAAAGATTGGCAAAAGTTGTTAGCTCAGGTGCCAATCTTTAAAATCAATTAACGTAACTCTATATTAAGATGTTAAAAGAAAAAATTACATGATCATAGATAAAGAAAAAGCATCTGAAAATACACAACAACTCCTGATGATATTAAAAGAACTCTCAAAACAATTAGCAGAAGGGAATTTCCTTAATTTGATCAGCAGAATCTATAACAATGATTCAGCAACATCATACTTAACAGTGAAAAGTTGAAAGCGTTTTCCCTGAGATGAGGAATGAGAACTTCAATTACCACTACATTTTATTCAAAGCAGCACAATGAGGCAAGAAAAGAAATAAAAGGTACACAGACCAAAAAGCAAGAAATAAAACTGTCATTCACTAATGAAATAATTGAGAATACAGAATATCTCTTTAAAACTACAGATAAAGTATTAGAATTAATAAAAAGATTTAGCAAAGTAGAAGGAAACAATACAATACAATAACGAACTGCATTCCCATACACTAAGAAAAAAGCTTGGAAATAAAATTTAAAATAACATTTGCAATAGCATTAAATAAATAAAATACCTAACAATAAAGCTAACAAAACGTGCAAGATCCTTTAGGTAGAAAAATATAAAACTTGATTAAATAACACCTAAATAAATGAAGAAATATACCATATTCATAGACTGGAAGCCTTAAAACTGAAAAGAAGTTAATTATCCCCAAGTTGAAAATTCAATCAGTACAATCTCAACCAAAATTCCAACAGTTCTTGTGAAACTCAATAAGATGATTTTAAAATTAATATAGAAATGACCAAGAACAGCCAAGGTACTCTTGAAAATCAACATAGTACAAAAATTTGTTCCATCAATTATGAAGACTTATTACAACACTAAACCAATTAAGACAGTGTGATAATGATGCAGGGAAAGACAGAGAGACCCAGGAAACAAAACAGGGAACCCAGACCTATGGGTGTATAGGTGGGTGTGGGGGGG